TCGCGCCTGCATTTCGCGCACTCGACACGCACGATCTCCGCAGAGGGTTGCATTTTCGATTGACGCTGTTCGCCCACCCTCCGCCTTTAAGAAAGAATTTATAAAATGGGGAAATATATTTCATTAGGACATCTCCCGTGCTAATTTTCCATGCTCACTCATCACACTTGCATACTCATTGCATGTTTGTATATTCATTGCATGCTTGCACGCTCATTTTTAGACTTGCATATTTTGACACTTGCATACTTTGCATTTGAATGCTTTCGCTCTTCCAGTGTGTGTGTAAGTGTCGAAGTGTCACTATTCAAGGATTTTCCGGAAGAATCCTTCGCAATGCTTTCTGTAAAATATATATTCTTTTAATTTTATCTAATCGAAAGATTTTTTTTTTTTCCAAAAATAATTAAATATTAACAATCCATTATATATTCAAATATTTGCCTCAAACAATTAATTTAATGAATGCAAAGAAGATCAAAATAAATTAATTCCAAATTGCAAAAATCATTCCTAGTGCTAAAATATATTTATATTAACCTTTATCATCCAAAGGGTTGTGGAAACCACGGCCTTTCTTCAGAGGCTGGTCTTATATAGCCCTAAACCACCAAATACCACTTATAAGGGGTATATTCATAACATATATTAATCACTACCTCACAATGAAGATAGGAAAAACATATTCCCATCACAATTTTTACGTGACCCACACAGCTTTCATAATTAAGGGATTTCACGGTTATATCACGGTTACCTCACGGCCTTTACTAGTATTTGGGGGGCTTATATGGTTTTTGAATTACATCACGTTCATTTCACGGTCCCGGATTTTCACCTCAATTATTATAAAGAAGAAGAATTCGGATATTTTCCTAAACACTCAATTTTAAATCATTAGATCAGCAATACCTAGGAAGCCTTTAATATGCTGTTTTGAGAAAATAAGATCGGGACTACCAATTCTAGAACCGAAGAAGACCAAGATAATATTCAATATTGTATATTAATGCACATATAATATAATATTAATATATATATATATATTATTTTTTTCAAAATTTATTAAATATTTTCTAAATTAAAAAAATATAAAATAAATATATCATCCAATAATATATTTTTTTAAAAAAAAATCCGATTAAATCGAATTTCAAATATATTTTATTTATCGAGAAATAAAAATCCAATATTAAAAATTTAATTTATTTTATAATATTTTATAAAAATAATGTGTTTTTAATATAAATAAATATTTTTTTTATTTTTTTTAAATAATTTTTAAATATTAAATATATTATTTATCGATATTTATTAATTAATATTATAATTTTAGAATATATATATAGAATTTAATCGAATTATTTTCTTCCAAATATAGTTAAAAATCATAATTACATAGGAACCCGTTATATATTCTCTATTTTTAGTATACCCAATTGCTTAATAAAAGAAATGTGGATCAAACAAAATTTAACGTCAAATTGCGAAAGACATTATAAACATTATACCGTTTTCAATTAATTTCCGAGCTTCAAATCATGCTTAAAACAAAAAATATGTTACAAATCAACCTTGGAAGGGTCCACACTCGAATCTAACAATATTTACTAGCGCAGTGCTAGAACGCGCCTAGCGCATTTTTCAGCCAGCCACTTTTCAAAAACCTAACGACGTTCTAAACATGTCCTAAAGCAAACACTAGCGCAAATCTATCGCAAACCTAGCACCCAATTGCAGAATAGGTGTGTTTAGCTAGAGATCCGCTACATAATCTAATAATAAACAAAAACATCATAAGCTACTTTCGACCCCTTTATCTATTCTTTTTGCTTGTAGACTTTTAGCCGGACTATATTGAATAATATATTATATATTGAATAATGTATGGCCCAACATAAAATATGTGGTCCAATCAATTTAAATATGTTTATTCAATGCATGGGTAATTCCTGGTCTTTTCATTCGGCATTTTCGCCTTCCTTAAGAAGGCGATCATGACGGGAGCCCAGGATCTGCCAAATCTCTGGATGGTCGCTGCCACCAATTCGCCTTCGTGCCCGGGGCACGAGAAATCCCGTGAAACCGGTCCAGCTCGCTGGCCTGGTGACAAGCCACACTGCACTAGTTGAAGAAAGAGGGAAAATTCAAATGAATAAAAGCAATTCCAATTCTTTTCTCATGGCTCCATGTAAACTCGAATGTTCTGCTGGAAAAAGCATTGTCCGTTTGGTTTCTGTCGAGAAGCCTCACTGTTCGAGTGTTGCAGCACAGTTCGAATGAGCACACCACATGCAGTCCCTGAAAGGCTTAAACAACAATAACATCTGACAAAAGCTCCAAACATGCAGTGAAAGGTACTACCCTCTCTCCAACGAACCGTGGAAGTGGACGGGCCTGGCCCGTGGAAAGACCATGCTCCTCGACGATGGAGGAGGGTCCACTTCCATGTTCGTTGCAGGGAGGGTAGTAGGCAGCAACAAACACTGAAGAGCAATAATATCCAGCCTGGTTTCAGACAGACCACTACTTCGTCACAAAACGAAAGACGAACTCTTGTAGAGTGGTTGATGCTAAGAACATCTAAGAACATCCAAGAACCAAATCTAACCAGAATATCAAAGCTCTGTTGACCCGTATGTTCAATTCCAAGCGCCCCAACTCCTACCACCTTCCAATAAATGAAGAGCCAACCCCACAGCCGCTCGTTTCGTCGCGCGTACGCGCGCCTCGCGCCTGCCTAGCACCGTGTGGGGCAGCACAGCACGCAGCGGTTCTCATCCGCCAGACATCAACCATGAATCTCAATTCCTTGCTGCGTCAGTGCACAGGTTTTCTTGTTGGGAGGTTCTGGTCTCTGCTGACAGGTATCAGTGGCTCGGATCGGAAGTATGTAGAAAAGTAGGGAAAGAATAAGATTCAAAAAAAAAAAACAAAAAACGTGACTAATTGCACTCACATACCATCTTCAGCTTCTATTCGGGCAAAACGACCAGTTTGGAGATCTGCAAGCTCTCATTCTGCTGTCCCCACATCTGCAGCCAAGTCGCTGCTACGAGTTGGTTGAAACTGCGAGGTGTCTCCAAACTGTCCCATCCCCTGGCACACAAGCTGCGCTCCTCTGGATTATCTCACCGAACCAAACATATATACTTCGTCTTCGCTTCTGAAAGAATGACAGGATGGAAGAAGGGTATTTTTCCTTGAGAGTACCGTTGATTATGTTCGAATTAAGTCAAGAAGTAGCACCAAAACAGTTGAAATGTCTATCCCGTTTTGAGTTCCGCCTTACTTGGCATGCTCAGCACGTAGCGCCGTTCCTGGACCTCCGGTGCCACTGCTTGCATTGGCTCCTAAAAAAACACGGGTCCCGGTCGGATCGAGAGGGAAACAAAACCATCGGCACATTGAAAAGAGACATCAAATCCATGGATTGACATATGGTTTTTGGTTTGTTTTGGGTTTGTTTTGAACATCCTGGACATCCAAGTGACCTTGCAACCATGCACTGCAAACATGTCAACAACAAACATCCATCTAGTTTGCGAGGTGTTCGGCACTCCCAAGCAAGTCCTCCTCCTCTTCCTCCTCTTCATCTTCCGGCATGATGGTGTTCGCTGCGCGCCTCTGTACCACTAACCACATCTAACCACACACAACTCATCACAAAACTCCTTCCGGTCAATCCGGTCCACCCGTCCTTCGGCCACAAAACCCTGAGCTCTGGACCCCAAAAGCTCGAGGATGGATCGAAAGTCGTGACCTGGGAAGGTACCATCGACCCACTAGACCCGCGACCGTGCCGTGCCGCCGGACACGTTAGGCCGTTTCCACCGGCTGAGGCCTTAAAGGGGTTTTCAAAGGATACGCCGGTCCCATAGAGTTGTTGGGGGGGGGTGGGCGCGAACATGCAACAAGGCCTAAAGTCAAAGTCTTTGAAAGTCTTTGAGAGTCGGGAGGTGTGTAGGAAAAATCGGGAGACCTCCCAAAGACCCCCTGGAAGAAGGGAAAATTCACCAAGACCCATTGGTTGGCTTCTCGGTTCTGGTTGTGGTGGTTTCTTCTCCGGTCTTTTCTTCCTTCGTTCGAGACGGAACTGGTACTGTGCCTCTGAGGGATGCAACTTTGGGGAAAAAAATACTCGATTTCCCTTTTGGGCAAAGGTTCACTGAGTTGTTCTTGGAGTGGTTTCGGTCTGTCGTTTGGCTTGATGCCCCTGGTGAGACGAGCCTTTTGGAGATTTACATGTCATTTTCCATGTCTACCGGGCATATGGCTCCGGTAGGACTGACCGCACGTTGAAGAAGAAGACCAGGTCGAAGCAAGGACTGCTTGGCTTTCATGCGGCTTCCGAATCCGTGAGGGCTGACCGAGATGTGATTTGAGCTCTCAACTTCGAATTTTTGTGTCAAATGGCTTGGGAAAGTCCTTAACTTTGGACCTTTCTCATGTCATCGTGATGCTTTGAGGCGGTTAGGTTTTCATAACCCGACCTTCCATATTTTACAGAAGTTGAAGCTGCCGATTCACGATCGTGTGGCTGAGAGCTTGTGAAAATTCTTTCATGCCGGACGCAGGTCCACATTGAATATGAAGAATTGTTGGAGACCTTGAACAACCAGGTTCGTTTTCGGTGTGTCTACCTCACGCTAAGCTTTGGGTGGCCACGGCAAGTCGTCGACTGCATGAAACAGCAAAGGCCAAAGACCCATTGGTTGGGGGCCTCCCAATAAAAATACACACCCGAAAAGAGGCAAACCGGTAACTCGCATCGATTGGCAAAACACACTTGCTTGCCTTCACGACACCCCGTTTTAGGCCGGCGTGCCTATATAGGAAGGCCTCTTGGAGGCCACGCACATTGGAAGGTAACAGTGACTTCCAGTTGGTGGTTTTTCCATGTCTTGGATTTGGAACTCTCCCCCTTGATCCCAATGACTTTGGTCAATTTGTACTCTTCACCACATCTCCGCACTCACACCGCCTGCAAAAAAAATGGCCTTTTTCACCAAGCAGCCGCATGGTCCAAAGCACATGAGAACAGCCGGCAAAGGAATCAATGAGAAGATCACGGCATAGATCGTCACGCCACAGACCTCGATAGAACGATAGAACGCCCGGCAACTCGCTGGTCACACGCTGAAAGGGGTCCAAAAAAGCAACATCGATTGTCGCTTTCTTTCCTCACGTCGTCTTCAATTGTTTTGTTCATTCTAGATGATATAATGCATTGTAATGCATAATTTTAGACATCTATAAACCGTTAATCATTGTTGATACACACACAAAAACACATGCATGACAATTGTGGCAACATGTGGCAAACAATCAGCATCAATCAATTCTATTACACCAAATTATTCTATCTTAGACCTCTAACACACCTCTTGCACCGTGAATATGCTTGCTCAAAAAGCTTCTACGTTCAAGCCAAAGCACCACGGCACCAAGCTTGAAGAAGATGTGCATCGTGCAGGGCAGCAGGAAACATGCACAGCCAATGGTGGTGAGTGCAGAGCCAACCTGGGCTTCGAGAGGAACAAAGTCAGTCAGGTTCGGATGGCCAATGGCGCATGGCACCTAGAAAGCCTTTTTTTTGGAGCCTGCAAAATGAAGGACCCCGGAAAACGTCAACCTACCCAATTCCGGCATTGAATTCTTCACCCATCTCCAACGTAGCCCCCATTAACCACCTCCAACGACTAGCCTCCCCCTAATTATTTTGGGAACATGTCGGCTGAGTTTGCGTCGCAAGCCGGTGTTCACCCAAAAACAGCGCTTTCTTTTCACAGCTCGGCGCTTGTTTTCACCGCCACCGCCTCCGAGCAGAGACTCTCAGCTTCTAATTCGAGCAGCAATGGAGCCACCAATCCGCTCTAAAGCATATCTCGAGCGCTCGAAGCGTTCAGCACCTCAAGTCTGTCGGGATCCTGTCTCGGAAGCCAATTCGGCCCGTTTTTGTGTGGGCGGCGGGGGGGGGGAAGGGGAGCGCGCCCGTTTTGGTTTTGGGGGATGATTCATAAGCTCTGCCGTGAACGACTGGTGGTTCACGAGTGATTCACTTGCTCATGCACACAATCACTGTTTATATCTTATAATCTATCAACACCTAGGGCCCTAGGGCCCGCTCCGATGACCTGAGAAGGTCGTTGGGGTGGGTTTGGGGGTTCCAACATGTTCCACTACCTGTTGAGGACGTGGTTGAAGCCCGAGGGCCACATGTTGCAAAATCTTCAGCCCATTTGGATCCAAGAGAAACATGTCCTCGTGTTCGCTTGTAGCGTCTGGATCAACTTGACTCAGGTGCGAGCTCCGATTCTTCGACAAGACTTTCTTGTTCTTCTCGCAGGTGGCCTCAACAAGCAGGTCATTCATCCATACGTCCAATTTGATGAACGATCCAACAAATTTGGAGACCAGGCGGTTATGCACATATCATCCGGGAAGCCAATCAAGCGGGTTATGTCTAGAACCGTCAGAAGCGTCAGATATCCAAAAGATGTGTTGGCTTCTCCAGCGTCACCTCCCCAATGATTCACGGATTGGGCCTCCGATCCCACGGGCAAGTCCAACACGAGTTTTTTCCGACCGGTACGTCTGAAAACCACACATGGGGGGATTGTGGGCAAGCATCATGTCAAGGAAACACATAAATGAAACACTGGCCAATGCTTTACCTAGAAAAGGAAGATCATATAGATAGACACATTATTGAATAGATGATCACGCAGTATAACATATTAGTGAGTAATACTAGTAATAATAAAAACATCAATACAATATAGTTCATATAGGTGCCAAATACATGGTATTTCCAATTTGCCCCTGATGGTTCTCACCAGCACGGTACAACGTTCCGGCCTTTGCTGCTGGAGCATCCGACACCTTCATGCTCACGCGGCGCCCCGTCTTCCCCACCGCGGCAGCCCTAGGTCCATGCGGCGAAAGGAGGAGTGCTTCCATTGGGGGTTCGTGGAGTGGATGGGAAAGACAAAAGGAAGGCAAAGGAGGCATGGATGAACGTATTAATCATATCTTCTGACCATATCTTGGGACCATATTCCATCATATTCCTACTTGACTGCTCACAACTCACTTGTTTGTTTGCGGAAATGAGTGAACAGGCACTCATGGCTGATAGCATGGTATCTTCCCATCTGCCAGTCTTAGGGCAGGACATGATACTCTTCCTGCGCGAGGAATGAGCGCAATGGCTCCCAACAACATGTGTGCCCTTCGGCAAGTGCACATCCGCTTAAAACCAACAAACTTGCCAAGGCAAGTGAACATCTGCTTATACCAACAACCAATGAAAACAAAGGAAAACGGTCGCTCTCCTGCCAAAGCGTTGTGCCATGGTTTCGTGGTCTTGGACCTGGTCCGGTTGGGGACCCGGTCACATCCCAGCGTCACAAAGACCATAAAAAAAGGAGCACATGTCACACATGTTCGTGATCTGCAGGTCATACGTGTGCTTTGTTTAATGTGGGTTTCTCTGTTGACTGCGGAAGTCAGCCAGCAAGTGACCTCTTCCTCTTCCACCTCCTCTTCTTCCTTCTCCTTCAATCAGTCATTGCCACATAAAGCTGACTCAACAATGCACAAAGAACAACGTCCGTGAGCTTGCTTGGGCAAATCGGCACATCGGCCTCGACATCGGTGATGTGGCAGGAGTGGTATTTGTGGGACCTCGGCTTTCAGAACAATACAAAAACCATCAAAAACCTCTATCCAACGTGGACGAAGACGCACTGAGCTTGCTCTGAGCTTCGCACAAATGGAGACAATAATCCACCGCAAAACCCACAAAGACGATCAGGGACAGGACTTCGATGGCACCGATCGCCCAACCCATGATCTTAGTTGGTGTGGGTGCCGTGCTCAAACGAATGCTTCAGAATGGCACTTCTCTTTGGAAGGTACAGAGTACATGGTCCTTCTTCAATGTAGTTGCACCCTCTAAAAGACCTTCATGGCACCGGTAGCATCTCCGCACCTTCGAAAACGTGGCTGCTCTCCGTCTCATGTGTCACAGCCTCTTTTGGCCCAAGGACAATGACCATGAAGAAGAGCAAACCCACAACGATGGTCAGCACGATGGTCATCACGATGATGGCCAGGTGCGTGCTTCGTGTGAAGACCAGCACTCCCAGAAACACGCAACCCAAGGAGATGCAAAGCGTGATCAACGTGCTGTCCAAAATCACCTGGCCCAAAGGGAGAAAGCCACAACATACAAAATTGTTTTTGGGGCGCATAGTGACAACCCTTCGAACTGATAGAATATTGCCCGGAGAAGTCTGTCTGGACATGTTGAAGAGGAGCGATTTAAAAAAGGACGTCTCCGACTGTTTTGAACAGTTTTGTGAACCAAAGCAACCAACCGCATGCGGACGTCGTTGCTGTCGCCTTCTCTGCTTCACTCACGCTCCAGAGCTTGGAAGCCTCGTGCGCCGGGGCGACGCCCGGGCGACACATAGGGCCAACGGTGGATGAGCATTTTTCCAACACTGGGACCTGGCATCCAAGTAACCCGTCTGAGAAGCGGCAGTCACTGTGATGGCTTTAATAGGTAAAAACATGTAAAAACCGCCCCTGTCTGAGCAGGTAGTTATGACGGGCTGTGCACACAAAATGCAACAAGACGTCTTCATGTTCGAACCAGGCTGTGGGTCATGGCACGAGGATACCTCTGCCTACCTGGATTAGTCGTTCGCGCAGCCATGGTGGACTGGGTCGGTCATGACCGTCATGACCCATCTGGTCAATGGCTCGAAAACCGGACTCCGACCCAGCCACGTGCCAAGCGCCCTTAATGGATGCGTCCGCTTGGCTGTTGAAAGCCTCAAAGGCCACTGGCGCAAATGTTCTAAGGAAGAAGGACATGAAACATTAAAGAATGGACATAAACAAAGCATCGGAACACAGAACAAGACAACTGCAACAACAACAACAACAACAACGACAACAATGATCACCACAACAACAAACCCTAAAAAGAACAACAGCCTTTAAAACAATAACACACACACAGCAGAGCATTCAAAATTACTGCTTGTCCCCCAGAATTTTGCAGAGGGTTTCTTTTCCCTTTTAGTATCTTTTAGTCCTTGTTTTGAGCCGTACTTTGGTGCTGCCAAAGCACTGCCATGAAGCGATCCCAGTTCTGCATGGCCTCCAATCCCACCGAGGAACCCGCCAAGCGATTCACATTGAGGAAGCACCTTTGGAGCGGTTGAGCAGAGGAGCAGCTGCGCGCAACTGGGAGCCGAAGGGAACGTGTTTCACCGAAGAACAGCGAGTCGAGTCGGCTGGTCTTTCCAGCATCCACCATGACAATGTCGATGTCTGTGTGTGTTTTTTTCATTTTTTTCTTGACATGGTGTTCTTTCCAACTCCAAAAGGGTCCCACCGGTCCCATGCAGGTGTTCCGGTGTATGAAGCTGACTTGGTTGGCACGCGTTAAGTTGAAACAGGTTGGAACCTTGGCGCCCAGGGTCTGGTTCTTTCATGCAGCATCTTGGCAGGTTGGAAGCTAGGTGTTGCTCCTTCCATCTCAATGGCCAAATTCTTCGAGATGGGCTGACTGAGTCCGCCATGTTTCTTAAGCGAAACGGAAGCCGACTTAGAACATGGGAGTCCAATTTAAGAAGCATCCAACTTTTGTGTTGCAGCGTGTTCTTCTATTTGGCCGCTGTGATGCAACGTGGCTCATGAGACGACAGGTTTCCAGACTCACATTGGACTCACCGAAGGAACTGGCTACAAACCCTAACGATTAAAAGCCTTAGGCCTTAGTGTTTCAATTCCCGGGCAAGCTGGACCCTCCACCCTACTTGCGATGGCCTCCACCCGAGCAGCGATGGCCTCCAGCAATGGCTTCCGCCCTACTTACGAAACTGGCGTCTCCAAATCCAAGGAGCTGGAAGTACATGGCAATGAGCTTCTCGTCTTCGAACCACAGGAAGCCTCAGCGTGTGGCCATGGTGAGCCACCGGGGGTCTGGCGTGAAGAGAGCCACCCGGGGTCTTTCTCCGCTTTGGCGTTTGTCGACTTAGAACGACCTTGGCAGGGTCAGGATGTCCGAGAAATGGGTTTGGACGATGTTGATGTTCCACCAAGGGTGTTCTACGAGTTTCTAGGTGCTTAAAGCTTAGGGTCATTGAGTCATCCAGTAGAATGAATACTTATCAAGGAAGTGATTCTGGGCAGTTCTTTTGACGACGACGACGACAACAAGATCGAATCGCAACACACAATGCGGTCAAGATCACTTGATGTTTCGAGGTTGCCCGTCCTCATGTTGTTGGCGTACCACCAAGCTTCACCATGGAAGTTCTTGCTGAGGCGGACGGGCCACTCTTCGTTGCGCATGTTCACCCACCAATCTCGAAAACCCACCAACCAGCAATGCATGCTGATGATCTTCAGCTCCTGCAAATTCCAGTGCTTGCACAAGAACAACCCGTAGTTATGATTCACATTCATCAGCTTCGACCCTAACACTAAAGCCGTTCATAGCCGCTATCATAGCCCAGCTACCTGTTCTAGAAGCATAAAGAACCTCTTCCAACACTTCCAACAACCTTCCCCCAAAAATATTGCTTGCAAACACACCTTCCCAATCTTCCCGGTATAATAAGTGAGCATCAATAGGCCTCTCTACCCTTCGCCGCCGCATCACCGATCTCGCCGCGCCTCTGGATGGTTGGTGCAAAGACTCAAACTTTGCCGCTGCGCCCAGGGATCTTCAGGGCGAAAATCCGTGGAAAATCCATAAGGCTGTTCAGTGGAGACTCCAATGAGGCGATTACTCCCGGTAACCACCAGGCCGAAGACCACCAAGACGTCCTCAGTACGAACTCGTACTCGTTTGGAGAGACATTCAAGGAAAAAACGTACCAAAAACGCGTGACCAGCACATGGACATCCACCAAAAAATATCAAAAACATGATTTCAGCTTCTCGATGTGCATGGGTATCTTGGATTTAAACTGCGCAGTGTGGGTGGCAAACTCCTTTCAAAGGACATAACAAAGGCATCATTTCCTGGCCAAGAAAAAACAACGCCCCCAAACAAGTCGAGTCAGCATTCAGGATCGAACTCAGGTGACATACACAAGTTCTCTCGTCTCAAGGCGGAACATGTCTGTTTCGGAGCACATCTCCCTGAAACAACCATGAAAGTGGAAAGAGTTCGGTCCCTTCAAATTCCATCCTGAAATCAGCACCTGCTCAGCTTCTGGAGGGAGGGTCTCTCTTTTTGATCATCCGATGGCATGTTCTTCTTCCACCGGGCAACTGCCCGCACTTCCGGCGGCAGCAACGGCTCGGGCGTGGTCGTGGTTGCCAACCGGCGTGCGACGGCGCTACTAGCGCCGTCCAAGCGAAGGTGGTTGGAAGAGACTCCTGCAGATCGGCAGATCGGTGGTTGGATTGGCCTCTATAGACTTGCAACCACAAGAACTAAACGAACCTCGTTGAAGATCTTGTTCTAAGCTCATGGTTTTGGTAGCCGCATTCTATGCGCGCCTGGACCATAAGCCCATTCAAAAGCAAACGTGCAATCTGAGAACAAAGCGCCAGATCTCCTCCAAATCGATCTTCAACCTCCTCCATCCCTTCAACCATGCTTTTATAGTCAAAAATAAAGAAAAGCACTCCTTTAGTATCCTTTAGTCAAAAATACATCGAGGTTCGATTTCTCCTGCGCTAGATCCCTCACAGGGCTGCACACCGCAGTAGCAAATCTCTTGGAGGACGCATGTGCCGCTTCCGTTGCCCAACAGCCTCGCATCTGGCACCTTCGACGGTCTGCACAAACGATTTGACCGGTGGACGAAGACATGACCGGTGTGCCTACCCATCGGTCAAGGGAGTGGACTTGGTGAATCACAGGATTTGGACCATGGATCGACCATAATTACCGCACATACCCCACCAACCACTCATCATATCAGTAACTAATCACGCCGAGTATACGTTCGACACGATTTTGAGCTGAGGTTTGGCTGAGGGTGATAGATTCCTTTTTGACCGGTCCGGCTCAAAAAAACGCCTTCACTCTCTTCATCTCTCTTCCAAGGGTCTCGTTCCGTCATTCCTCCCTCCCGCGGCTTTGAAACATGCCCCAAAGAGCGGGACGCCTGGAGCATCACGCGCAAATCTTCCTCGCCACTGTCCCAGTGGTAGGTTTCCAGCACCGATGACTTGATACCTCGACGGTTTCGGTGACACGTAGCGAGGAGGCGTCGGACAGACCTCGTCCCAGCCCATTTGGGGAAACAAAATTGAATAACATCAAAAAACAAAGAATGAAGTCAGCTGAAGACACTGGATCCGATGAATTGCAGCTCCCTGTTGGGAAATCGACTGCGCAGTGAAGCTTCCTTGGAAGCTAATTTCCGTTTTCCGTGCGCACAGTCGCAAGAACAACGGGGCCCAACGTTCGAAACGTTCGAACGGCTTGGCATTCGGAGGGCTCGGATTTAATCTAGGATTTTTTTCCCGAAAGCACCTGCGAAGGGTTTTTCCTTAAGCACTGCTGCCTATTTCATCTTCCTTAATCTCTTTCTCTTACTTGATCTTCCCCACTCTCTCTTCCTTACTCTCTTTCTCTTACTTCATCTTCCCCACTCTCTCTTCCTGACTCTCTTTATCCTACTTCACCTTCCTTACTTCATATTCTTTACTAACTTTCTCCTACTTCACCCTCACAACATCATCATCTAATCATCACCTCATAGGTTATCATATCATATCAGGTTATAATATCATATCACATCACATCAATGTCATAACATATCATATCATATCATGTTTTAATATCATATCACATCACATCAATGTCAGATCATATCATCTCATATCATGTGATAAAATAATATCACATCACAACATAACATATGAAGTAGAAGTATCAGATCAACAATATCAAAGTACATCAGAAGTAGATATTGATAGGTAGGTATTGATAAGTGGGTATAGACAGGTAGGTGTAGGTAGGTAGGTGTAGATAGGTAGGTGAAGATAGGTAGGTGAAGATAGGTAGGTGTAGACATCTTCCTTAAGACACCTACCCAACTTCACCTACCCAACTTCTTCTTTATTCTTCTCTTTAGGCGGCGGGGCGGTGCGAGCAGGTCTTACGAAACGCAACCCTCTCGTGGAATCGTGGCCATCGATCGCGCGCGCGTGTGGTGAGACGCGAATCGCGTTTGTCCGTGAGCAACCCTCTGCGGAGATCGTGCGTGTCGATCGCGCGAACGTGTGGTGAAACGTACATTTT